AGGGCTGCTCTAGCATGTGTCCCAAACTCTATGGTTTAACCATAGAGTTTTGGGTATATCACTGAACATTAGTGTTGCCAGATTTGTGTTGAGAAATACCTGGAGATTTAGGGGGTGGGGCCTGGGGAAGATGGAGTTTGGAGAGGGGATGGAACTCAGTGGGGTATAATGCCACAGAGTCCACACTCCAAAGCAGCCATTTTCTCCAGGGGAACTGATCTCTGTTGTCTGGAAGCTGGCAGCCTTACCTAATGTGATGTCACTTCCGGGTTGTGCAAGAAGCAACATCCTCAGCTGGGGGATGCTGATCGGCCCCTTCCCATTTTGCCAGGGATTTTCCTCCCATTACCCAATTGTGTGGTTGGGGTTGCCAGGTCTGGGCTGAAAAATACCTGGAGACTTTGGGGGTGGATCCAGGAGAAGGCAGGGTTTGGGGAGGGGAAGGGCCTCAGCATGGTATAATTCCACAGAGTCCACCCTCCAAAGCAGCCATTTTCTCCAGGGGAGCTGATCCCTGTCAGCTGGAGATCAGTTGTAAAAGCGGGAGGTCCCCAGGCCCCACCTGGAGGCTTGCAACCTTATGTGTGGTGATGGACAACGGCAGCAGGTCGGGGGGGGGGGGTGCCACAATCTCAGGAGACCTGGCAACCGTAGCTGCGAGTCCAGTGTTCCCTCTAAGCTCACAGTTTTTTAGCCTCCGGCTCACAGATTTTTGTCTTAGCTCAGGAAGGAGGGCTCCAGAGCAAACTAATTGATGCAGCAGCCAAATCGCTCGCTCACAACTTTCATGCCAGTCGCTCACAAAGTAGAATTTTTGCTCACAAGACTCCACAGCTTAGCGGGATCATTGGCTGCGACCCATGAAAACTCATACTGAAATAAACGTTGTTCGTCTTTTTTTGTGCTTTTTTCAAAGCAGGCCGGCAAGGGGGGAAAAGCCCTCAATGAAACAGAGCCCCCAGTGTGCAGGCACGCCACAGACTGAAAACTCAAGGCTCTCTTGACAGTAAACAAGAACATCTGCTGCTCTGAACTGGACCAAGAGGAGCGTCAGGAAGGCTGTCGACTGGAGCTCCTTTCGCTGACAGCTCAAAGTTGTGTTTGGAGCAGAAATCCACAACTGTTTTGACAGGCGACAAGTGGCAAATCAGCGAACAGATGGGGTCTGGCTGTACCGGGGACGTGAAAGGAAACCGGTCGGTCCGCCAGTGGTCTTTTCGGCGCTCTCTCTCTGGGCCTACCTGCTGATGTAGGATGGGATGGAGTGGTCACCTCTCCCAGCTTCAGCCACAGGGGACTGTTAATTTGGGCAGCGGACTGCATGGAGTGTTTAACCCTTCCCCCTTGCACAAACTCCTCCATCAAAGCCCCAATCCCCTTAGTTGCTACTAGCCCTGCTTGGGGGTATTGTAGAAGTGCCGAATTTTCCCTAGCGGGGTTCCTAGCAACCAAGGGGGAAAAGTACAGGAGAAACAAAAGCTGGCTAGACCTCGCAGCGTGAACAGAACAGCAAAGTGCATGCTGGGAAGGGGCCGTGGGTGGGGTCACCCAGGAGTAGACCAGGAGAAGGCACTTGCCATTGTCAGAGGGCTACTGATCTCCAGGCGACGGAGATCAATTCACTTGGCGAAAATGGCTGCTTTGGAAGGTGGACTCTATGGCGTTATATCCCATTGAAGCCCCTCCCCTCCCTAAACCCTGCCCTCAGGCTCCGCCCACAAAATCTCTAGGTATTTCCCAACCCGGAACTAACAACCCTATACTGTCCGGAGCCTAGAATAGGGCTGTACCACTTAAGGTGGGGACAGTCACATTCTATTGATTCCCGCTCTAAAGTTAGCTCATCGGGGGTATAAAGTTCTCACCAGACCGTATGGTAGTTTCCCACTCATATAGAATTATTACTGTCGAGGGAGCTCTGAAAAACATAATCTCCTGCAGCCTTTCGTGGTACGGTCCCATTCTGCCACCTCTGCTCTCTGCCTCCCCACCCTTCTACATATCTGGATCAGAACTCTCTTGGCACTGCAAATTTTGGCTGAGCTTTACGGTCAGATAACGTGGCAAGAATACACAGAACACAGACCCTGAACAGAGGAGTCCGTTTTATTGATGCTACTGTTAAACTTCACTGTGAGTTCCAAGATAGCCCGATGCATTGGGACTCTCTGCATTTGAACCAACTTATTGCTGCCGCCTTCCCGGTATCAGAAATGAACAACTGCCGCTAGTTAATTCCAGCGAGTTCCAAGTTAGCTCGATGTGTTGGGACTCGCTGCATTTGAACCATCTTATTGCTGCAGTCTTAAATGAACAACTGCCGCTAGTTAATTCCAGAAATAATCTGTAGGGTTGTGTGTGTGGGGAGCTCTTTATGTGTTGCTCATTCCAATAAAAAGTGCTTGCTACATTCTGGAAATAGCTAACCTTCTGCAATCAATAGTTATTAAATGTGTTCAATCAGCCCTCTCATTAAGTGGCATTGTAATCTGACTTGGAGGGGGGGGGGAGCTAGGCTACGGGAGCCGCTCCAGAATGCTCCTGCCTGCTATTTCGGTTCTTCTGTCTGCAGCTTTGTCATTCAACATACCCCACAACATCTGATGCCAGAAGAGTTCAGAGTGATTCATAGTCTCTATAATAAAAGCTCAGCTGTGTACTCTTTATTCCACCAACCCGTGGTCTGTTTCCCTGCGATGAAGCAGAGTGAGGAAGACAGGAACAATGTGGCGGGATAACGAAGGGGACGTCGGAGCGAAAACGCTCCCGCTTGTGGGCGGATTCTCTCCCGCAGGCGATGGCAGGCCGGCCGAAAAGACCGGCTCTGTTCCCCCCTGCAGACACCGAGGGAGACGGAGGAGGAGAGCCACGCTTATAGCAGGCCATCACTTTCGTGATGATGCGGTAGCCGGGGACTGAAGAAGAGGCGGGCAGACTATGAGATAAAAGAATCTCAGGCTGCCTGGGCAGCAAAAGGCTGCGGTCAAAATAAAAAGTGAGTTTAAAAAAAAGAAGAAAAGAGGCAGGCAAGAAATACAGGGGGAAAATATCTGGAAAGAATTGCGGGGGGAGGAGGGGAACAAGCAAACAAGAAAAATAATACAGAAAGAAGAGCCGGAGTCTCTAAGGCCCTTTCCACACTCTCCTTTCAATGTTCCATGTTCACCGTGGTGCCCTCGAGGCAATTCTGCACTCAAATCGAGTTCAGCCTTTTGATTCTGGCCCCCCCCCATTCTGCATTACATTACCTCCCTTCAGAGGTCAGCCCGGTTTCAGTCTGCTGTTGCCCCCGGGGTTATTTGGATGCTGTTTTGCTGCGAACTTAAACGTTGAGAAAACCCAGAGAGAGTTAGGCAAATAAAGGACTTAAACCTACAAGCACTAAAAAAGGAACTCTCTCTATAGCTGACTGACCCCACCTGGGCCATTTCCACACAGGTTACTGGCCCCAGGTAAGATGTTGTTGGGAAGCTGAGTTTCCTCCTGCTTCCTCACAGTATGGTGGCCCCAGAATTTCCCCGTCCTTTCTCTAATCTCTTCTACAGCCCCGTTTGCCCCAGAGCGAACTACCGCACGGCCGCTGGTTCAAACGTCCTGCCGCCGTCCTGTGGTTCGGGGGGAGGTGCCGATCATACATAAATCCTGCGGTGCGGCAAAGAAGCGGCGTGGCGGGGGTTGTGTGTGTGTTTTTAACCGAAGTGTGTGCATGCGCCGTTGGGTGCTTGTGCGCATCCCATGGAGACTTGGGGGGAAAAAACCTTTTCGCGACGGGACATGGGCAGGCGCCGGATGCCACGAGCTACCACCGGAAACGTGATCAGACGCCCGCCCTTGCCCCGCAGTTTCCGGAAACTATTACCTCAGAGGTACTAGTTTTTTACGGTGCATCTTCGGTGGGAAGCCTCATGTTCACCATGGGAGCTCTACGCTTCCCAGATGTTGCGGTTTGATCGTGCCCAGAAAATTCGCCTATCTTCTGTCTCTGTAGCGTGGCTAATGCTCAGTGTGACCGCAGCCTACATCTGCTTTTCTCTTAAGTTTCGAGAAAGATCGCAGCAGAGCCCATAATGCTGGAGTTTTTTTGATCGTAATATATCCTCTGCCCTTGCTCCCACGGAAGCCATTTTCTCCCTCAGCCATCAGGGAGATTTTTTTTAAAAAAAATTGGCACTTGAATATCTTTCTACTGTTCTAGCGGTGTAACTATCTGTGTAGCAGGTTTGCTGAATTCCCAGCTTTGATTTTATTTCTTCGTAAAAAGGAAGCCTCTAGCCCCTTTCATTGTGGAGATTTAAGAGGAAAGGCATATCTCTGTGATGAAAGGAATTAAGAGATAAACGGGGCTACTTTTTACCCACCTTCAGGTCCCAAACCCACTGGTCAAAGACATCTATGTATTAAGAGCACAAGACAGAACAAATGGATACATCAAAAGATATCAGTATAACAGCCTTTCCCCTAATATTTTTGATTTGAAATTATAACAACGTCTTAGCCCAGTTATAAATTTAGGAAAATACAAAACCTCCAAAGTTAGCAATGTCTGTGTTAAGCTCTTAAATACATTAAAAATCTTTGCTGCACATTTCTTCGTAATTTAGTACACAACAACTTTTTTAAAAAAAATAGCATTTTTATTTGTATAATTCAGTACAGGACATTTAGAAAGAGACTATGAAAAAATATCTTACGCTATGCATGGAACTCATTTACGTTCCAAAACTGCAAAGCTGTTTAAAACCAATTCTTTCAAGAATGACAGACTTCAAACTCATTCAGATTATAACCCTAAAAGCCCCCTTCTTGAAAGACCGTAGTGTTTTCTTGGTACATTTGGTACACTTATAATCTGCCTTTTTGGATCCTACTGCAGCTATACAGAGGAAAATGTTTAAACAAGGCCACAAAAATAAAACTCAACACCAAGATCCTTTCTTTTAAATTTTTGGATCCTACTGCAGCTATAGAGAGGAAATTGTTTAAACTAAAACTCAACACCAAGATCCTTTCTTTTATATTTAAAAAGGTAGTCAAATAGGAGAGAATAATTAAGTGTTACCAAACAGTTCCACTTTGCATAAACATGCATAAAACTGGCATTGCATAATTTATCTTAAGAGACTGTAGTTTAATAGTACAGCTAACATGCCACAGCAGATTACATGGTTGCTGCCAGAAGGTGCAACGTAACTGCAGTAAATTCTTGCTACAATGGCTTGCAATTTGCCACAGAATAGTTCTATCATCAGAAACCTTTAAAAGATTATTTCCCCTTCTCAAGCAGACAGCAGTTTCAGAATGACTAACTGCCCTGCTGCTGTAGTGCTTGGATTTAAAAAACAAAGTAATGCTGAGGAGGATTAAATGGCTTCAAATTCACGCTCCAGGTTAACATGTTCTCAGACTGAGTTCTAATCAGCCCAGGAATAGTTTAGCTACTATGTAAAAGAAGCACCAGTCTCGATTAAATTGAGAGAAACCCCCAAACAACGGCAACTCCCTTTTTTCTGAAAGCTTTCTTTCATTCCCACACTTACTCTTAAAACAGAGAAGGATTAAAAAGAGCCTGGTAAAATTCTCTTGCGTGAGATACAAGCATCTCCGTCCCTGCTAAATAAAATCCCATTTAAATTAAGTAAGCATCCTCATTCTGTAATTTCCCAGCCTTTATGGAATCCTTTACCCACTGTTCAGACAGAATTTTAAACTTCCTTGTAAATGTTCGTCTGACCGCCTTTATCTCCTTTACCCGACCACGATCTTCCCCGATAATTACGTGGGACACCCCTTCCTCCAGCCGCAAGCTGACCCTCGCTCCGTGAAAGCGAAGCATCAACGCGCCGGTTACCACTCTCGTCCGATTAACTTTGTCTCTCGAATCGCCGACTTTGTCAGAGAGGTCCAGGTAAACGGTGCGCTGCCTGAACATGCTGAGCTGAGAGCTGCCCCAGGAATACCGTTCTTCTAGGTCAGCAATCGCGTCCCAAGAGATCTCCTCCCTCAAATTACTCATCCGTGAGAACAACCCCTTTAACTGGGCCATGTCAGTATCAGCAGTGTAACTGTCACCATAGCGGTCATACTTGCAGGCAAAGTGTTCTTTCGTTTCAGAGGACATATGAATCATGAAAGTAGGTTGCCACGGCACAAACGCCTGCCTTTCAAAGCACTGTAAAAGCCACTCTGCTCTCACAACATCATACTTGTTGGAAGAAACAATATTTCTCACTCGGATGTTCTCAGTCCCTACGACGACGCAATACGTGTCCGGACCCGGGTTTTGTACTACGCTACCGCCAAACTCTGCTATTTTGCTTTCCAGCTCGTTTTTTGAACAGCTTTCTGTCCCAGTCATGACGCAAAACTCAACATCTTCAAATATGCTGGAAAGTCTGCTAACGTTAGAAAGATCGGGGGCTTTAAAATGATCCATTACTCCAATTATTTTTTTGACCTTGGGCACAGCTTTACGCTTTTTCCCTTGCGGCTCATCGTGACCAACGTCGAGGTGCTTCGTCGCCAGCTTCCCTGAAGCTTTGCCTCTGAGCTGTTCTAAAAGGTCAAGAGTCATACATTCGTACCACTCTTTATCCTCTCTGATCTTCTCAATACGAGGGAAACGCAAGGTACAATCAGTTTTGTACATATCGCTACTGACAATCTCAGCTGCTTTGACCTGAACAATGACTGAATTGCAAGGCTCAATATAGACCTCGGGCTTCTCTGTCCCACACAAGATGTTGCAAGGAGGATCTTTTTTACGATACGGTTTCCAGTGTTTGGCTAATTTCAGGCCAAGATCATACAGCTCTTTCATAGTGTAGCCAGAACCGACACGACAAATAGAATGGAACACAGATGGTTTTTCACCAGGTAGAGGTATCTCAGCAACTGCGCACAGGAAGTGGGACATCATGCCACCACGAAGGCCTTTTCCCCAGTAGCCCCCCACAATCAGAAGGTCTAGCTCATCCATCAGCCCATCGACGTACTCTGGTTTTATCTTCAGCCATCCTTCTCCACGTTTATCTGGCTTGTAAACGGATGCGGGGTCTTTCACCACAATTCCTTCTTCCCTGTTATCTATAGCATCATTTAGAGCATCGATAACTTCTTTCCGTGTGCTGGCTTGATGTTTAAGAACAACCTGTATTCGACCTGTTATTGGGGTAAAGAGCTTATTGAGTATCTCGTACCTTTTGCTCAACATCTCGTGACCCAACTTCTGGCCATTCGCCATTAGGACATCAAACACGCAGAAGCACGTCTGCAGTTCAGAATCCTCCACCATCCTCTTGATGTCAAACTTACTTCCCTTCTGCGTGAAGGTTTGTGTCATGGGGTTGTAGGCCATCATTTCGCCATCCAGAATGCAGTTCTGAACATCCTCCCGAAAAACGTTATGAACGAACGGCGTCAACGAACCTTCGAGGGGGGATGCCCCAAACTGCAGAGTATAATCATAGCCATTCCGCGAGAAATACTTGTACACGTCCCCATCTTTGTGCATCTGTATCCGCTCGCCGTCCAACTTGGTTTCTATGTAGAAACTCTGATGGTTCATCTGCTTTTCAATTTGTTGTATGTCGGCGATTGCAGCAAGCATCGGCTTGAAGGCGGAAAAGAGAGAAATGGAAACATCGCTGAGAGACACGGAAGGATCGTGCAGCTGCCTGCAAACCTTCTCCAGATCGGTTGTGACGCCGAACAGCTCTGTGGCGTCGGGATGGAAGATGGAAAATAAGGTCTGTTGGCTGATGCCCAGTTTCAAATCCTTTATAATCATTCTAATCAGCCACTTCTGTTCGAGTGCCGAGCTCTGAGTTATCAACTGCAGAAGAGACTTCTTGACCAAATCTTTCCTTTTAGAAGCATTATTGGTAGAAACAGAATCTAGAAGAACGTTCACCTCCTGTATGGTCAACTGACCTTGCTTGATGCACCTTGGCTTCAGCACAAAATAGGCTATTGTCGCAAAATCCCCAGCATCTCCCCGCGAGCCAGCAGGGGTTCGATAATTTAAAAGTTTTAAAGCGTCTTTCCCCCCCTTGGGTAAGTTTAGCAGTTCGATGTAGAGCTTAGCCAGCATCGTTTCTTTAATTCCGTAAGCCATCCTCTCCCTTTCCAGCTGGGGAAGGGTAAGTCTCATAGCAGGATAAAAAGAATCCATCACGTTCTTTTCACCTTTGTGAAGGGCATCGTGAAATTTCCTCCAGGAATCTAAAAAATCTTTGAAATACTTTGTCTTCTCTGGCCGGGATTTACATTTCTGTATTTGTTCTAGAGTCGAGCAGAGGTCTGCAAAAGGGACTTGTGATGCCACAGTCACCTGTGAAGGAGCACGGGAAGCAGGGATAGAAGACATCTCAGTTCGGTCCTCTCGTCTGCTGCCAGAACAAAATGATAAAAAAGTACGTCAGCCTTTGATTTCTATTCAGTAAAACTCTTTCAGCCGTTCACAACCTTTGCTAGAATTGTAGCAAATATTTAAGTCCTGCTGTATTCAATGGAGCTTATTCCCCAATTAAATGTGAAAAAGATTTATATCTTACAGTGCAATTTAAGCAGAGCTACACCTTTCTATTTAAATCATGAAGACTTCCTGTTTAAGATAGCATATACCTTGCGAAAGTGGTACTCTAGACAGTGGGATCACTTTGCATTAGGTAAGATCTCAAATGGTATTTGTATGTTTCAGTTGGAGAAACAATTAGAAGATTTCTTAGCTGTATGGTTCCCTGTGACAGAATATTTGAAGAAACACAAGGTTATTCTTAAACAACAAGGACGTACTTTTCTTCTAAATTTGCACAAAGCGTTAAAGTCTTGCGCGACTATCCTTTGTATTAATAGACTACATATAATGTGGGAGTTGTAACACTGCCAAAAATTGTGATAATAAGGTGGTTTAGATTCCCTTTATGTTTATTATGTTAAAAGTTAGTCGGATATATGTTAGGTGGATATATGCTGTTTATCCTAAAAATAATAAAAACTATTTTTAAAAAAGACTTAATGTTTAAAACAAAGCACATTTTATTGTTATTATTTGCCACAGTAGTGCATAAAAACACAACCAAACTACCAGCTGTGCTGTCGCATGCATCCTGTTCCTATGTATGTTTGCTTGATCACAGACTACACGAAAGCTCGAGCAATTTGCATAGGCAACGCAGAACACTGCTTAAAAATTGTGGACGAGTACAGACAGGGTACTGCCAGCCATTAAAGAAGATTGAACACTTAATAAGCAGACATAGCAGCCCTGCTTTATTGCTACTGGATGCTATCCTGCTTTATTATTCTTTTCTCAACTTTAATTTGCCTCAACCCTTGGGTCTCTTCACTGCAAGCAAATACGAAATTAAACTGAGAGTAAGAGGTGGCTTGTTCAACATAGAAATAGCAACAACAATATGCATGTATAAAACCATTCCTTTAAAACTTCTGCCTAAATCGTGAAAAATACAACTTTGCTCACTGCAAGCAAGTACGAAACTAAACTGAGAGTAAGAGGTGGCTTGTTCAGCATTGAAATACAGAGCTATCCAAATCTGTTCCTAACAGCTTATGCGCAACAAACAATATGCACGTATAAAACCATTCCTTTAAAACCTCTGCCTAAATCGTGAAAAATACAACTTTGGGGCACCCACTTAAAAAAAAATAATCCAATTTACATTTTAAAAAATCTCAGCAACCCATTTCAAAAACAAAACCCTTTGTGATAAAGTGGACCTTACGAGTTTTCTCTCCTAATAGGGAGGTACAGAGACTGTGGTTCTACTCTCTTCTGTTATCAGTGGAGTCAAAAGAACTTAAAAGCTGACAGTCACATACAGGGAGAAGAAGTTCATGAGCTAAATAGCTCTCAGTCTATGAACTAGAGAGCAGAGAAGTTAACTGCAGCAGCAACCCTGAAGAAGGGCACTTTATCCTAAAATGGTCTGGGCGTCTGAAGGACTACCTGTCTGCTTAGATTTTCACTGAAGGCGCTTGGTGACCAGGGGAAAGGCCTTTCTGGGAGTGACAATATCTCTGGACTTCCGTCCACCTACCCAATCCAGCCCTAGGTCTGCCTGGTACCTTTCCTATTGGATTTTCGGTTAACTTTGGTTCCTGGCAAGTCACGTTTTGTATGCTGAAATTCGATTTATTGTCTTTGTGTTGTCTTCTTGTGTAATTTTATAATTTTTTTTCTAAAACCGTATTCAATTACGTGAGCTGCTCGGTGTACTGGTTAAATGAGTGGACTCTAACCTGAGAGAACCGGGTTTGATTCCCCACTCCTCCACTCGCGGCTGCTTATCCTAAAATGGTCTGGGCGTCTGAAGGACTACCTGTCTGCTTAGATTTTCACTGAAGGCGCTTGGTGACCAGGGGAAAGGCCTTTCTGGGAGTGACAATATCTCTGGACTTCCGTCCACCTACCCAATCCAGCCAGAGGTCTGCCTGGTACTTTTCCTATTGGATTTTTGGTTAACTTTGGTTCCTGGCAAGTCACGTTTTGTATGCTGAAATTTGAAATATTTTAAAACCAACAGCTCCCTTGCTTTTCTTAAAGGGCTGTTTTTTTGAAATCAAAACTATCCCCTATAGCAGATTTCCCACCTATGAGAAAATAATATAGGGAATCCAAGGGATGGCACAGCAGCTAATTGAGGGGACATCACTCCTTCCCCAGGGTTGCTGCGATAAACCTGAAAGTCCTAAAACCTTGTGGTCAATCATTTGGCTCTTTTAAATCTCTCAGAATTACATGCCCTTTAAGCCCAATTAATTTATGGTGTCATGGATGGTAGCTAACTACACAACAGCAGTAGTAACACTGGACACTGCGGAGTTATCATAAACACTTTCTGTTTCAGTTCCCACCTCTGCCCCATAGGAAAAACACCATTAGATTACAGTGCAAAGTTACTGTAAAACACTTCTTCAACCGCAGCTCCAACCAGCAACATGATAATGCTGGATTATGTCTGCATAACAATTTTGTAAATATGTAAGACTGAGAATCACCACATTTTTCACACAAAGAAAAACCTTAGTTAGAGACAGCATGAAGTCTTTGCTTCCACTTGGGGGGGGGGGTTACTGCTATTCAAGAAAAAGTATGATATCTCAGATTTCTCCAATGTCCTATGGGAAATGAGACAAGAGAGATGCATCTAGACTAGCAGAACCATTTTCACACAACGTAATTTGTAGTTTGTGTATAGAAGAAGAAGGGTGCATGGTCCCAATACTCTTCTAAGGTGTTTTACTGATTAAAAATAGTCTATGCCATCTCTCCACCAAAGGCACACCAGTATAATATAATCAATAACTACAAAATACCAGCCACCAGGTCCCGTGAAAACAAATGCATCAATTATAATACTAATTTTAGAACAATAACAAACTTTCACTAGCAAACAGCAACAAACCAAAGGCACAAGGGCAGGAAACACAGCACAAACACCATGCACTCCAAAACAGCTTTCCTTGTTATTTATGGGTCTCTCAGCACATGATTAACAGAATGCGCTTTCTGCACTTTTTAGTCCACCCTTCTGCTAAAGGGCTTAAGGACAGACATGCACAATAATTTATAGTTGGGGGTGCCAACCTCCAGATGGAGTTCTCTGACAATTACAACTGATCTCCAGACTACAGACATCAGTTTCTCTGTAGGAAACAGTAGTGTCAGAGCATGGACTCTATGGTATCACATCCTTGTCGAGTGCTTGCTCTTCCCCATACTTCACCCTCCCCCCCTAATCTCCAGGAATTTTCCAAGCCAGGTATGGCAACCCTACCTCATCCACTTTTCTCACTAACCCCCCTTTTCTATATGTAACGGTTGAGGAAGTTCTGCTTCACTGTATCTGACGAAGTGTGCTTGCACATGAAAGCTTACACCTTGAATAAAACTCTGTTGCTCTTAAAGGTGCCCCTGGACTCAAACTTTGTTCTGCTGCTTCAGACCAACACGGCTGCCCACCTGGATCCACCTTTCTCACTGTTACTGAGTCCCTATGAGGTAGAGTAATTAGAGAGACTTGCCTAAAGTCGGCAGGGGAGCTTCATGGTGGGCAGGAATTTGAACCCACGTCTTCTAGGTCCTAGTCCAGCACCCTAACCACTATGCCACACCAACTCTCTGATAACAAGAGAAGGGAGGAAGAACGCTGTGTCGGGAAATTCCTGGATATTTGGGAGCGGCGCCTGAGGAAGGGAGGAACCTCAGCACGGTATGCCACAGAGTCTACCCTCCATTTTCTCCAGGGAACTGATCGCTGTCATCTGGAGATCAGCTGCAACTCCAGACTCAACCTGGAAATTGACACCCCAAAAAAGAAGAAGCCAATTTTCTCACGGTCCTGGGATGGACTCCGCTGCAAGAGAAGGAAAACATTTCCTGGAAAGGGCATATAAACCCTGGGCGCTCTGCGTTCTGTCTCCCTACCTTGAGGAACCAGTTCTAAAGCACTACTTCCGGGTCAAAGACCTGCCAGCGACCCAAAACTGAATCGATCCTTACTATAGCGACAGCCAAACCAGATTTGCGCATGCGCTCTCCGCTCTTTATGCGCCAGGATCTCGTTCGCTCTCGCAAATCGGGCTGTTAGGCGCCTTTTCATAGGCTCAGGGAGGGCGGCCAATGGTTGAGACGGCGCAGCGTATTGGTCGGTCGTGGTTTGCTTCCCGTGTCACGGTTCGCATTATTGCGGAAGTGTTTTGCCTGGTGGTGGCTGGCTGGCGAATGGGCTGCTGGTCTGACCGGACGGTGGGAAGCGGAGCAGACGGCGGCGCCGCGCTGGAGAAGTTCGCCCCGGTCAGGGGAGCCGGAGGGGGTTTGTTGGGGGACGATGAGGTCGGTGCCGCCAGGGGGGAGAGTGGGGTGGGTGCGGGAAAGGGAAGCCGCTGCCCCGCAGGGGAAAGACTGGGAGGGGGTGGGAAGGAAGAGCCGGCTTTGCCCGTGCGCTGACCGGGGAGGTTTTTCCCAGGTGGAGCTGAAGAAACCGGCTTGGCCTTCCCTTTCCAGGTCTAGGTCGCTTGGTCCGGGCTTCTGTGGTGCATTCGCGGGGGCTTTTTTCCGATGCAGGGGCGCGCGCCTCCTTGCTACTCTTATTTGTGGTTGAATTTGTTTGCTGTTTTTTGCTTATAATTTATTGAACAAGTTGCAGTCGCAATCACGCTGGCTTGTTTCGAAACAAGTGATATGATACGGGAAGGGGGGTACATCCTGGATCAGACAAAAGGATGAATGGACGGCCAAACAGATGCTTGAAGGTGTGATGTACAGGAACACAGCGAAAGCTACGTGTTGGGGCAGCATGTTATGCCTCCTTTCTAATCATTATTGGATGTATTTATATTTTGTTTTAAATGTATTTAACTAGTGACAATCACGCTGGCTTGTGTTAAAACAGATGATACAGGGAGGAAAAATCCTGGCTCAGAGAAAAGGATGAATGGCTTGCCAGACAGACAGATGCTTACAGTTGCAGCTGTGATGTACAGGAACACAGCAAGAACTACTTGTCAGGGCAACATGTTATTTCTCCTTTCTACTCTTCTCTTTATTTATTATTGAATTTGCTTATTAATATTTATTTAACAAATCACTATCACACTGGCTTGTATCAAAACATATGATATGATATAGGGGAGAAAAAACCCTGGATCAGACAAAGGGATGAATGGATGGCCAAACAGACAGATGCTTGCAGGCGTGATGTACAGGAACACAGCTAAAGCTACGTCTTTCCACTCTTGAAGCGGCTCCTCAGTTTGCTTGATGAGCCTCTCTTAGGCTGACTTCCAACTAGGCAGGCACAGGACCTTCGTCTGTAAGAAGTAGTCATGCTAGGACCGTGTGAGGTTTGTGCCTCTGTTTTTATAACAGCGTTGATGGAAGGGAAAAAAAATAGGGGACACAGCAAGCTATTAAACACACTGAAAAATTGAAATGTTTTCATCATTAAAGCTTTTAGGTAGGAGGACCCACAGTCAGTCAAGTTTATTCTGAGCCTATGGATTTTCGGGATGTATAGTGAGGTTTGTGAACTTTGTTGTCATTCTGGTGGTGTGTGTTGTAAGACAGATGTTAAAGACTGCAGTTTGTTCTGTTGTTTAAAGTAGGCAAGCACAGTTCCTGCTTTGGTATGAAGGACGGAGTGAAAACTTGGAACAAGTGTTTTCGTGAAGTGGATAAAAACAATACTTGCTAGGATTTAAATATCAAGACTGTAATCTCAGTTACATGGGTAGATTTTGAAGGATTCTCTGGCAGAGTGGTGCGAGGGTGTTGGCGGAGCTGCTCATCTAATTCTGATGCAGTTTTCCTAAATTAGCATCCCTTATTACAAAATCCCTGTAGTTTTTCACTGTATTTGTTGTGCTATTCTGAGTATGATTCATTGTTCCTTTTATTGTCCTGTGGAAATGGCAGTTGTCTTTCTGCATCTGTACATCATTTGAGTGTTGAATGAGCTTCATAGCATGATAATGAGAAAAACTTTCCGCATACTGTTTATCAGTTTATAGATCTTTGTTAAATTCTCCCGTTAGCTGTCTTTTTCTCTTTTTTATTATAAATTTTTATTGGGTTTTTCAAGAAAGCTGTCTTTTTCTCTCAGTTAAAAAGCACCATTTGTATTGTTATAAAAGATGCTTCATTTTGACAGCTATTTTTAACTGCTCTTGCTGAGCATTGTCCTTTTTTGTTTTTTGAGGTAGGATAGCCTGAACGTGTACACAGTATTTCAGATGTAGGCACACCCAGAGCTATTTTGGGGTAGGAACGCACAGGAACGGAGTTCCGGCTGGCTCCCAAGTTGGCCACGCCCAGCAGGAACTCATTAGCATAATAGGCCACACCCAACAGCAGAAACTCATTAGGATTGGCTACATTCGGGGTGTGTGGCCTAACATGCAGAGGAG